GAGATTCTCTCTTTCTCCCTTTACCCTTCCCCTCACTCTGCTCATGTGCTCTCTCTCTCTCAAAAAAATAAATAAATCTTAAAAAACAACAACAACAACAAATATGCAGGTAAATAAAAACAGAGCTCTCACCATGGGAACTAGATGGATAAAGGAGACAATGAAAGAGGCAAGTGACTGCCGGTTTTTTTTTTTTTTTTTCCTGTTTTGAAATATCGAATGCCATTGGCTTAGGAGGGATTGGAGCCAATGTACACAAATGATGAGCAAGAGGTTACTGGTCCACATATTCTTTCATTTCCTTGATCATCTCATCTTCCATTTTCTGTTCCTACCACCTTAGTTGCCCACTCAAATGGACATACTTAGATATGTTTTTGTCTATTTCTTTTAAGTTTATTTTTTTAAGTAATCTCCACACCCAACATGGGGCTCAAACTCACAACCCTGAGATCAAGAGTTGCGCGTTCCCCAGACTGAGCCAGCCAGGCGCCCCGGACATACTTAGATTTGAAAGAACAGCTACTCCTGCCATTTCCTATATTATTCCCTAAAGTTCAATTTCAAGCGTTTTATACTCTACCAATTTTTCACATCACTTTCTTAACCACTTCAGAAGTTCCTTAACCCCGTTAGGATCTCTGGTTTTCACTGAGGTTACACTTCTTGTATTCATACTCTTTATCCAGTGAGGAGTCTATGGCTCATCACTACCTGTCACTCTAGGGCACACTTCATCCACACCTTTGCTAATTTCTGTTATACTCATCCAGTAGAGCCCCAACTCTGATTAAACCTACTGCTCTGTCTACTCTGTATGTGCATCCAGGAAGCCAAAGAAAAAAAGTGGTGCTGAGTAATCTCACTTGAAATGCATATACCTTGACAAAACTCTGGGACCATCCTGCTGTACTTTCCTGGTAAACTTACTTTCTGGGTCTCTGAGCTGATTATTATTTTCTTCCTGTCAAGGGCTAACAAGACTTCCATTCTGCTGAATTTAACAGATGGTTCCCAGTCCTCCTCTAATTCATTCAGTAAGTAGCGCTTGACACTGTTGTCCATTCCTCTTTGAAACACTTTTTAAAGCCATTTGGCTTCTTCGAACATCTATCCACATGCTCCACCATCTTTCTATCTCATTGTGACTCCCTGCAATCTCTCCTGGACCCCAATGCTGGGGTGTTCCAGGGCTCATTCCTTGGTCTCCTCTCTTCTTTATCTAGTGTCTAGGTCAGACACTTCTCAGCTTTGGCACTACTGACATTTTGGGCCAGATTATTCTTTGATGTGGGGCTCTCCTGTGCACTCTAGGATTTTTAGCAGCACCCTTGTCCTCTACCCACTAGAAATCAGTAGCACTCACCCTTCCCCAAGCTGTAGCAATCAAAATTGTACCCTGACATTATCAGATGTCCCTGGGAGGAAAAAAAAAATCACCCTGATTGAGAACCACAGATATAGGTGAACTCAACTAGCTCTATGGCTTCAAATGCCATCTAGGAGCTGATGAGCCCCAAACATATAAGCCCATTCCTTGCCCCAAGCTCCAAACTTGTACACCCAATTGTCTGTCTCCTTGATCTCTTTATTTGGAGGTAGCATTTGTACTTGTATATTTATTGTCTGCCACTTCCACTGATGAGAACCTCCAGAGTTTGCATACTCACTGTTTATTCCCAGTGGCTAGACATACAGGAGGTGCTTTAAAATATATTTGCTGATTAAAGAATTCAACATTTAACATATATTAATTCACTTCATGCAAGTTAATCAATGATGGGGCAATCAGGCAGATAATTTCAAACACATCAAGGCATCTTCAAGACATTTAACTTCAAGATAAAAAGAATAGCTTATTTTTAATTTTTTAAAAAGTAATCTCTTCACCCAACGTGGGGTTTGAACTCATGACCCCAGGATCAAGAGTCGCACACTCCACCAACTGAGCCAGCCAGGTGCCCCAGGAATGGCTTAATTTTAAACAAATTTGTGAACAGTACTAAACCTATCCATTAAATTTTAGATAAAATTCTGCTACAGTCTTGAAAGTAACAACCACTAAAGAGTTCCCAATCTTTCAACACCTCTGTTCTACTCCACAGCATTACTATGCTTCGTTTCTACTTGTTCTTGTAAGTATATATGACTCTCTCTCTAATATATATATATATATATTTTTTTTCTTTATTTCAATTAGTAATTGTGCCTTTTGACTCCCAAGATGCCTGTTAGCTGCCAATTCTTAACTGCAAGTCATTTCTTCAGTTGTTTATCCTCTTGGTCTAATTTATGCTCTATTTGAAATGGAGTAGAGGGTGAAGTTTTGCAAGGAGATCTGAATTCTGCTATCACTTAAAAAATTGCTTTCTGGATAATATCTATATTTATATAATATTTAACACTATCTATTTAATACTATTTATAATAGCTATATTTGTGAGAATGTGGTACTGTTGTGTTTTTTTAAGTAAGCTCTACGACCAACATGGGCCTTGAACTGTCGCATGCTCTACCAACTGAGCCAGCCAGGTGCCCCTGTTGTACTAGTTTTTATTTTTTTTCTTCCTCTCCACGCAAAGTAGCAACCAAGCATACCACTTAGCTCTCCCATTAAGTACTGCACCCATGCACATTATGATCAATTCTTACAGACCATGACTTCCAGCACTGTGTTTTGGGGGTGGAGGGTGGTCCAGGTAGTACCCAGACATCTTTTCCATAAACCTCCTTGGTTTATTTATTTACTTGGGTATTTATTCACTAGGCACACAGACTTTTGTGTATTTCTTTGTGCAAATTTCCTGAGGTTCCTTGATCAATTCTTCTTTGAATATAATTGAACGATGTCTTAATGATTAATGCTGGATGGATGTGATAGCCTCTTAAACCTTTGTAAGTAATAGACGAGAGGTATTAAATATTTATGTATGCATAGCACAGGAACTCAACCCAAGTCCAGTCAGCTCTGTGGATGCTGTAAACTTACAGTCCATACACTTACCCATTTGTCTGTGCCTTTGAAATTGTTTTTGGCTTTTTTAGAAAAATTGTGCCAATGTAAACATAACATAAAATTTATCATCTTAACCATTTTTAAGTATACAGGTCAGCAGTGTTAAATACATTCACATTCCTGTGCTGAGTTTTTAAATGGCATCTCTATTACATATGTTTGAGTACACTGAGTCAATCCTGGTATTCTGGAAAAAACAAACCATCAAACTGTATTGATTTCAGTATTATTCTTTCAATCATTGCTGATTTCATACAAATTCACACACACACACAAAACAGGTGCTAGAGGCATTTTAAAAAATCTTTTACAAGTACTACATGCCACAAAAGACTGTTAAATTTTAATACTTGACAAAATCTTAAAAAATCATAAATTTTTATGCTTGATTTCTCACGATTTATCAGCAAATGCAAGGTTTTAAAGTATGAACTTTCTTTGTAGACAATTTTTTTTTCCATTTAGGAAATTTTAAATAGAAGCTTTAAGGAAAGATTTAAATCCTATCAAGACAAGAATCAAATAGGATTTGATGAACTTCTGACCAACAAATCTTGGTATGTTTAAAAATGAACATGTTTTCACAGATCTTCAAGGTAAGTTCAAGTTGTCTTGAGGACTCATAGACTAAGTTACTGAAGGACTTAAAAGTTATAAATATTTTTGAATACCAGCATAATTTAGCTAGTAAAGAATTTAACAGGACACAAAATTTACCCATTTTACTAATAAAACCAAAGAAAGTAGACTACAGCAGCTGTATTTTATTTTTTTTAATTTTTTATTTTTTGACAGAGAGAGCGAGAGAGCACAAGTAGGGGGAACAGTAGAGGGAGAGGGAGAAGCAGGCTTCCCACCGAGCAGGGAGCCCGATGCGGGGCTCGATCCCAGGACCCTGGGACCATGACCTGAGCCGAAGGCAGACGCTTAACCATCTGAGCCTCCCACGCGCCCTGATAGCCGCTGTATTTTAGAACTGGAAGGATGACTTGGCTTAGCCGATCAAATGGGCAGGACCACTGCTCCAGTAAAGAGGCTGTCTTGGGCACTTTCCCCCTTTCCTGAAGAGTGTGGGTGGAGTGACTCATCCACAAAGACACTGTTACATTCTTGGACTAAGATACCCCAGTCTGTTTTTCATATAGAGTGAATTGCTAACGAACAGGCATCTTGCTCCCCAAATATTGAAATGTTTAGAGAATGTGACTTAGTTGGACTTCCTGCTGAAATGAGGTTAATGCTTTCAATGCGAACACTTTCGAGAATGTTGTAGCATAGCTGTGGGTGTTGCTGAAGAAAACACAGTGGGTTCAGGCAAAGAGGTTGGGCCTCAGTGACACTGCTTTCCCTGGTTAACAGCAGATCTAGTCAAAGGAGCTCGCTCACTATGTAGCCGGGGACAGAACTGTCCCTTTATGAACGCAAAATGAACACAGCACGGTAAACACTATTCGGCTTTTCTCTGATGAACCAAGATCGATAAATACCTACTGGGCAACATCCTACACATCAATTTTCTCTGTGTGTACTGACAGAGACAGTCTGCAGAGAATGGAATGAATATAAGCCGGTGTCAGGGCGTACTCTTAAAGTTTCTCTCTTTTTCTTTAAGTGTGCAGTATTAGTTGTGTCATAAGCCTTTTGCTTTTGCTCCCACAAGCGGAGCATCCAGCCCCACAGAGGAGCTGGCCAAACAACTGTTACATATTAGAGAATAAAGTCCAAATTAAAAAAAAAAAAGACCCTTTTGATCTGCCTTGACAGTTGTTCTAGCAAGAGATAATGTTAACATCGTAACCTGTTGGAGAGTCAGGTCAGCTACAGCTCATGCGGTTCTTAAAAAGACCAGTTTTGGCCACTGACACGAACCCATTAGGAGGACGGAACTCTCCTACGAGGCACAGAGGGGAACGTACTGTGTACATAATGACCTGAAAGTTAAATTATTTCAGTGAGGATAAATATTTGGTTCTTCTAGAGCTACCTTCACGTTGAATGTTATTTCCTCCATGACGTACACGCGCTCAGGAAATGCTTTGGCCACCTCCTCCACACTGTTGAAATATTGCACTGGCTCCTTTATATCTCGGTCTTGTTCCAGCAGCTTGAATTGCCCTAAAATACACGATAAACGGAAGAGATGTGAGATGTTTATGCTGGCCGGCTGTCACTGTGGCGACAGCATCCCCCTTTCCTTACGCCCACTCTTCTTTGTCAAAGGTTTCTGATCATTATCATTGGGGGAAAAAGTTACCATGGCAGAAGGTTTCCTTCAAACTAGAATACATAGCGAAAAATCAGCTTACAGATGAAAACAAACACGTTATTTTTTCTTTTCCATTTTTTGTTCGCATCGAGAGTTTGTTACCTGATGACCAAAATCAAACCGAATGGATGCTTATCCGTAATTTGGTCTCAAAGTGAAAATTTACTCAGTTACAAATGATTGCTCATTTTGTGTTTCACAGGAATAACCTTGTCACTGAGTTGTAATTAACACCCACACATGTGATATTCTAAAACGAAGGCCGAGCGACCTGGGGGAGCTGATTTTTTAAAAAATTAGTGTTTAAAAGTCTTGCAGGTAGGACAAAATAATACCGTGGACCTTTGGCTCTCACAGAATTGATATCCTTGGTTTCAACAGTGTGTGGGCGATGCTGAGGGCTCGTGAGCCGCGGTAATTTGTGGTGCTGCTGCCGCACAAGTGTGAAGCCTGAGCAGAGCGGCGCTGGGCCAGGGGGTGAGCCTCCATCCAGCGAGTGAGCCTGGCGACGAGCCAGGTGGCATCTGGAGCCACATGTGGCTTCCTTCTTTCCTTTTTATTGCTCTGTATGAAGTTCATGGGAAGAATATACCATCATGGTATCCATAATTTGGGGGATTTGCAAAGAACTTTGAACATATTCCTAAAAATTTCAAGGATCTATTGTTGTTTATATACTTTCAACATTGATGACACTTGTGCTCCATTCTGGAGTTGTTGTTTTCAGTTTAGAATAAAAGACCGTATGTACTCAAGGCAAAGACACAGTGTTTCTTGGTAGTCATTTTTCTGAATGCTGTTTACAATCTAACACTTGAGAAACTCGAAAAGGAATTAAAAGCTATAATGAGGCAGATCTCTCAGCATGTGTCTGTGGGGCATCAGGAGGAAATAGGAGAACTTTCATTCATATTCTCAGGACTTTTTTTTAGCATCTGTTAGGTGGGAGGCATTATCCTAGATGCTGGGGAGAAGTCAATAAATAGGCCAGATAAAGATCTCTATCCTCCTGAATCTTACATTGTAGCAGGAGACAATGATAAATACAATAAATGACTAGGGTATATAATAGGTCAGGGGGTGAGAAATATTGTTAATACGGCTGGGCGAGGGGGACAGAGAGTGCAGGGAGGTGTGTTCTCAGAATTCTTTTTTTTTTTTAAGATTTTATTTATTTATTCATGAGCGAGAGAGAGAGAGAGAGAGGCAGAGGGAGAAGCAGGCTCCCAAGGAGCAGGGAGCCCAATGCGGGACTTGATCCCAGGACTCTGGGATCATGACCTGAGCCGAAGGCAGACGCTTAACCATCTGAGCCACCCAGGCGCCCGTGTTCTCAGAATTCTAATCATAGGCAATAGTCTAGGCAAAGAGCTGGAGGTGGGTGGGTAGCTGCCCCCTTGGCATGCTACCAGTGTTGGCTGGAGTGGGGTAAGTAAAAGGGAAGAGGGGAGAGAAATAAAGTCTGAGAAATAACAGGTGGTCAGACTACGTACAGCTTTGAAGACTTGTAGCTCTTTATCTGAGAGCCACTGGGGGGTATGTGTGAAGAAGTGATCTAACCAACGTTATAGAAGGACCACTCTGGTTGTTGTTTTGAGAACACACTGTGAAGGTGCAAGGTGTAGGGGCAGAGAGCAGTGAGGAGGCCCCTGCAGTCAGCCAGGTGTGAGATGGCAGGGGTTTGGAAAAGGTGAGAAAGTGTTACGAATTTAGCCTGAGCAGCTGAAGGAAGCAGGCTTGGAGGGGTGGGGTTTGGATCAGTTCAGTCTGAGACGTCTACTAGGCATTCAATAAAGATATCCCAAAAGCTCTTAGATGAACATATACATGTGGAGCTCAGGGAGAAGTTGGGCTGGATAATAAATCTAGGAGGCCATCAGCACACAGATGATCTTTAAAGCCATGGCACTTACTGATGAAGGAGCATGGGCTTCAGTGTAGACAGAGAAGAGGTCTAAGGTTTGAGTCCCAGGAGACTCAGAAGGACTGGCTGGAGGGGGGGTGGTAGTGAGAGGCAAATCCAGAAGGGGTGCATTCTAGAAGCCAGTGATTCGAGCACTTCAAGGAGCTCTGAAATGAGAGCTGACAACTGTCGGGTTTAGCAACTTGTATTTAAGTGGGGACTTCAACAGGAGCAGTGGAACAGTTGGGGTCAAGCCTGCCTGAGCTGGATTTAGGAGAGACTGAGAAGGGAGGAGTGGGAATAAGAAGAATGGACAGCAGGTGACATCTGGGGAGTTTGGCTATGAAGGGGAGAAGAGACACGGCGTGGTAGCTGAGGGAGCACATGGAATAGGATCGAGGGAGTGTTTCTGGTTTCCTTAATATGGTGGATGCTCATGGGAATGACCAACAGAGGGACAAGCCTAGGAGGGTGGAATTATTGGAGCATGTCCCTGGGTAGGCAGAGGGGACAGGGGAGTGGAGGGGCTGGTCCTCAGCAGGAGCTCCCGTGTGACAGCTCAGTGGGAGCCCGTGGGAGCTCCCTCTTATTGCTTCAATATTTCCAGCAAAAGTTGGAAGAAAGGCATCCACTGAGAGTACGATTGAGAAATGAGCTGTGGGAGGGCTAAGGGAAGAGGAGAAGGCCATAAAAAGTCCACTGAGAGTGAATGACACATCATGACTGCTGGACAGCCCTAAGTTCCCACTTGAGTTTCACGGTCATGAATTAAAAGCGAAACCGAACAGTACAGTTCTACGTTTTTCTCCAGCCAAAGTGCGACGCATAGGGGCTGGCACAAAGTGGGCAGAGATCTGGATTCAGCCAGGGTTGCAGAACTGCCAAATGAGGATGAGACATGAAGGAGGGCCGAGGAGCCAGGATGGATGCAAGGGAGCGAATATAATGTCTGTCTGGGGAGCCTGAGCTGGACCCAACAGCTTGGGAGGGAGGAATGAGGGTGAAAAGTAGCAGAATCAATGGATAGTGGGTTCTGATGGAGTCGAATTTCTGGAGCGAGGGAGCTCAAGAGCCAAGCAGAGGAGTGGTCAGTGAGGAAGGCATGCACTTTGAGATAATGGAAGCACGCAGTGGTTGGTGATGACGCAGTCTAGGGGGCAACCGTGGGAGGTAAAGGTTGAGGTGACGAGAAGCTACAGAATCTAAGAGGCCAGGGGTATTAGAAGGATCGCATATGTATGCATTGAAATCCCCAAGAATGAAGAGAGAAGGAATGCTGGAAAGAAAGGCAGGGAGCCCGGAGTGAAAATTATGGAGAAATGGGGGAGGGATCCTAGATCAGGAGCATCGATGGGGTAGCGGGCAAGAGTCTGAGGACACGAGATTAAAGCTGAGAGTTTCTAGGGAGGGGAGAAGTGTAATGGTCAAGGGAGCAATGAAGAACCCAGTTCTTCAACTTTGGGCAACAAATGGAGCGGCCACCTGAGAGGGCTTCAGGGAAGTGGTGTTTTCAGGGCATACCCAGGTTAGGGTTTAACAAGATAAAAGTAATTTCAGAGAAGAGTTTAAGGACATGGGGATTTTGTTGGTGATGGACCCTGAAGGGAGAGTTTTCAGGAGTTAAGGGGAGGGCGATGAGGACAACGTGGAGAATGCAGCTAGATACGATGTAACAGGTCATATACGTTTAGAGATACGGAGGGGTATGAATAAAACATTCGCAAATATAGTCAAAATATGTTAGATTATACTCTTTTCACAAAAAACAACAGAGTTTTTAAGAAATTACAGCAATATCAGTACTGCTTAAACAGATTCTGCCACTATAATAAATCAAACTTTTCATTGTCTCTTTCTACTTAGTCCTTGTACAAATTCTTAATAATTATGGAGTATCTCCAGTTTCATCTCCATTCCTCCCTATATTTTCTGACATCCCCCCACACGACTACACTTAGAAAGTTTGCATCACATTTCATAATTGGATTTAACTATTTTTCTGTTCTCTCTTCAATGAGTCTGAGTTAGGCTAGTAAGTGCAAACTCCGCCACCGACAAATGACTAATCCATCTGAGCTTTGTTTCCTCACCTGTAAAGTGGGGACACTTCAAAGAGCTGCAGCAAGGCTTGGCGGAGAGGATTTTCAGTACTTAGTATAACTAACCATTTAGCAACCCTCAGCTCCCTTTCCTGTTCTCAAGATGCACAGAGATTTTCTCTTCTCTTTTTTGGCTTGCTTTTGGGGGATAAATTTTCTAGTGCAGGATTACTAAAGCAAAGGGCACCACACAATTCTTTTTGTTTAACGTGCCTGGCTATCCTGCTTTCCAAAATACCTAGACTAATTTATATTTCCACCAGTAGCCAATTTATATTTCTTACATGTGCATCTTAGTTGGACCACAATCTTGCCAGCACTGAGTATTCTTTTTTTTTTTCTTAAAGATTTATTTTTGAGAGAGAGAAAGAGAGAGAGCGAGTGCATGCACACACGAGTGAGTGCGGGGAGGGGCAGAGGGAGAGGGAGAGAGAAACTTCAGCAGTCTCCTCTCTGAGCTTGGAGCCCGAAGTGGGGCTTGATCTCATGACCCTGAGGTCATGACCTGAGCCGAAAGCAGGAGTCAGACACTTAACCAATTGCGCCACTCAGGTGCCCCTGCAATAAGTATTCTTTAAGTAAGATAATTCACTGGGTACTAAAAAAGCATCTCTTGCCTGTAATCTGCATTTCTTTGAAGATCGGCAAAGTTAAAACAGTTGGGTTTTTCTTGTGCAAATGGCTGTATATATATATATATATATATATAATAAACATATCTGATGTCTAAATTTCTTTTAACTTCTAGAGACATATGGCTAAGAGTCTACTGGATATTTATACCTGTGAGTCTCATTAGCACCAAATTCAACACGTCTCAACCTCACATGCAATAGGTACTTAATAA